CAGCGCTAACCAACGTTAACGGCGTCGTTAAGCATGTGCAGCACCAGCAACACAGCGGGTAGGAGAGTTCTCGCGAAACGATGAGCACTATGCAACATAACGCCACGATGGCCGTGTGCGCTGTACGACATAACGAAAGAAGGTTCAACGTATAGGGATGGGGGTACGGGGGTGGGGATGGGTTGAATTAGTCGTCCTACTACCTCTACGTTTTGGCCTTCCAGCGGGGCAACAAGCGCCATGAAGCAAATTTGTTTTCTATTCCGGATGATCCGCGGGCCCCAGCTAGGCAAATCCAAGATAACGATCGAGGCGGGCCGAATCAGGGAACGCTGCAGCGCTGCAACGAGGAGCACCCCTGGAGCAAATAAGAAGTAATGAAGGAAGCGTCTTCTGCCAAATACGCGACATGGACACGCGCTGCAGTACACTCACTGTCCAGGACATGTATCAGCCCAGCGATTGCAACAGTAGCAACAGCGAGCATCACCCACACCAGCCACTGCAGGCGTGCAATAGCTGCATAGATGCTCCTTTCACCGGGTGGCTGTTGGCGTTGCTAGCTCGGTTGATTGGTTCGTTGGCGGCCAATAATGTGTTTAGGAAAACAGTTATGATGATAGGCAACCTAAGCAAAGTAAATGCCAAGTCAGCAGGTCAATGAACCAGCAACAGGCCTTGCCATTTGTGCGGTGCCTTATGTACGGCATACATACTTCAAAGACGAAATACGGCAGGTAGAAGGATCTCCTGCAGCGCGATAGCTAACCCCATACCCGGGGAAGCTGGAGGAAGGTGTATCACCCTGCCACGCCATGCCGTACCCTGCCAGGCGACACGAAAATGTGGAAGGCAGCTGCCCGCTCCCGGCCCCTCCCCGGCCCCCCCCCGCCCCCGCCCCCGGGCCCCCCCCGCCCCCGCCCCCGGTCCCCCCCGCCCCCGGTCCCCCCCGGCCCCCCCCCCCGCACACCACCACATTAGGCGCCAGGGACCTGACGCCGTGCATACATGCGCTAGTGACGCGTACCGTACATGTACACATTACGTACGGCGCACGTGCATGCCGTACATGTATCTGTTGCTACACCTTCCGTACATGTACGTCACCTGCTGGTTGTTACGCTCGCCCGCTTCCTTGGGTTTATCCCCCAGGCAGCGCGCAGCCAGGTGAGGTAAGGTAAGCGAGTGTACATACATACATACAAACGGGCGCAAGGGGCGACTTGGGACACATGCTCAGCATCATACTGTTGGAGGATCTCACGGATGATCTGTCCTTCCGTCGATCATCGCACGCACACACAACACAAGTGGAGGGCGAGTGGAGGTTTTAGTTAGTCCGCACAAATTTCCGCGGGGTCGATGGTCAATCCGACTCACTCGATCCGTAAGAAGACGGACCTCGTAATGGCCGACATAGAGGTGCTGGAGCAGCAACAGCAACAGCAGCAGCAGCAGCAGCAACAGCAACAGCAACAGCAACAGCAACAGCAGCCGTAACAGTAACAGCACACAAAGCTGTGCAAACATGACCCGAATAATGCTGTTGCTATCGCTATCGAGGAGCTAATAAATACCGCCAGGCTTTCGCCAGATGACTCCGTCCGTCCGTCCGTCCGTCCGTCCTTCAGGTTACCCGGACGTCAACTGACCTGCAGGCGCCCAGTCCTGAACCGCCCACCCACCCACCGACCGACCGACAAACTCTAAGGAAGGGGGAAGAAGGGGGAAAGAAGGTTGGCCATCAGTATATGCCAAAGCATGCCAAGCTTCCTAAATGAAACGCCGGGACCGACGGAGTTTCGACACGGATATCTAGTCTACCCCGGCAACTGCATAACCAGGTTAGCTCACGAACAGGCAAAAACACAGCAGGTAGAACCAACGAACCAAACAATGGCGAACAACATAAACCATGACGAAGGCGCTTCTGCACTCATGCAGACGCGCGCAAACGAGCGAATCGTAGAATACCAGCATCGGCATCATCAGAATCAGTCGTAGTAGCAGCAGTTGCAGCTATCCCGCTATTTCTCCTAGTAACATAGCAAGCAACCTGCCGTCGCATGTGATGGCGCCTTGCACTTGACATGTACGGCGCCTCAGAGCGAGGGGCGAGAAGGCAAAGCAGGCGATAGATAGAGAGGCTCAATCCGCAATACTGTTTCTATATCCGGACAACCCTAAAACTGTCGGACATCTGCCTACTGATGTATTGCTGAATCCACCTACTGGCACCTTTACTTTTATTGCCACTTCTACATCTACACCTCTACATCTACACCTCTACATCTACACCTCTACATCTACACCTCTACATCTACACCTCTACATCTACACCTCTACATCTACACCTCTACATCTACACCTCTACATCTACACCTCTACATCTACACCTCTACATCTACGTCGTAATCTTCCTTTCACCCATAAGCTGACCTTTTCTACAACATACTCGTCGTCTTAACGCCGCAAACGGAAACATCGCTAGCCGAGTGGAGGGCGCTCGGCGGGGCGCCCTTTGTTTCGGCAGCGCGCCGGAGGGGCGTGACAGACTGACGGACCTCGGAGACGGGGAACTACCTCCCCCCTACCCCGGTGGTTGAATGCTATTATCGAAAGCGAGCAAAACCATCCGTACCCATACCCACATACACCCCCCGTCCCAACAGGCCATTCAGACTCGCGCGCACAACTCTATGGTCCTCTAATATATTAAAATGCCTACGTCGTACCTACGTCGTACCTACGTCGTACCTCACCTAGGTATTCCCAGCTCGCCCGCACATTCATCATCTGCGTGGTAAGGAGCCCCAAGCCAGCCAGCCAGAAAGGCAGACAGACAGACAGACAGACAGCACTACACACCGTCTAAAGTCATGCAACCGGTGTGTTAGAACTGGAGGCAGCAGTACCCCACCCCGCCCCGGCAGACGTGCGGTGACTGCTAACAGGCCGAAGGCGGACGAGGACCGCCAGAGAGGATCTGTGCTCGCTCCACATGGCAGCAATCACGTTCTTGACGCCGCCATGCCCGACTGCCGCCGCGACCTGGACCGCTGTTCTCTCCCCCCCCCACACACACAGCGCTCCGCTCCGTTCCTTATGTGATGGAGCCAAGAGCCTAGAGGCTAGAGGCTAGAGGCTAGAGTAAGGTGGCCTATGGCAAGCACGCAAAATCATGACCCGCCGTCAAGCCGTCAGGGCTAAGCATCGACGAACAGCGCAGCATGTGAATAGACTGGCACCATTGCGAGACCAGGACATGACAGGACAGGACAGGACAGGACAGGATATAGGATACTACAACGACACATGATACCTGCTGCAACTGTAACTGCCACCATCACAACGACAGTAACACCGACGCAACCACCATTGGCATTTGCAACCGCAACCGCGAACCCCCGCTAACACCACCACCACCAGACGAGGGGCGTTGGAGGGGGGCTGGCTGGCTGGCGCTGGTAATCGACAAATTACCAACCAGCCAACCAGACTACTCAACTGATCGATTAATAAGCTGGCAGACTGCTGTTCCCCCCGGGTGGGGGGTGACCCCCCCAGCCCTGATTAGAGCGCCGGAGAGCCCTATATGGAAGACCCAAATGCCACACATGCCACCACACGGCCCCCACACGGCCCCCACACGCAACCAAAGAGAGGGCCTAATGCGCCCCCTACCCCCCCGCTACCCTTAGCCCAGCCAGAGGACTCGGATGCCCTTCGCAGAGACCGGCCAGAGTGCCATTTGGCTTCACTCCTGAAGCAGCTATCGCGGTCAGCTATCCCCCCCCCCCTACACCCCGCCCTGATACTCTCTCTGGTCACAGCTACAGCTACAGCTACAGCTACAGCTACACACAAAGCCCCCAACAGCTTTATCGCCGCGTTATCAGCGGTACGACAGGATGACGTGTTCCTTCTCCTCCTCCTCCTCCTCCTCCTTGAGTGTGCACAGCTGACCCTTCCTACTGCATAAGGCCCCTACAATTTCCGACACTGACGAGTATCTCAAACCCTAGTTAGGAAAACGATTGCGGCCGCAGCAGCCCGTAAAGACGCGCTCACAGCCCTGATGGGCCCCACGCTGGCTGCTGGTGCATGCGAATGAGAGCATGTACGTAGGCAGATACGTTCATGCATAAATAAGTACATACGCTGATAAATACGCGCATCCATTCCGATGTACGACACAGGAACACTGCTGCCATGAGGGAGGCGCATGATAGCGGCCCCCTAAGCCAACCAAGCCAACTGTAACGTCGTAGAGTCTTGATAATGCCGTACTCTTCGTACAGACGTACGAGGGAATTTGATTCCTAAGGCAATTTTTTCGCACCATCCACATCACCATTAACGGGACAATATCATCCAAAAGGCGTGCAGTGTAGAAAGCTTGTGGATGTGCGTGCAGGGGTGTGTGCGTAAGGGATTGGATGTGCGTGTGTGTGTGTGTGTGTGTGTGTGTGTGTGCAGACGTACCCCAGACGAATTCTGGTGATCTCCCCACCACGAACCACCCGCCGCGTCTCGAGAGCCACAAGCGAGAGGACACCACTGTGGGGCCCGTCGTACATGTTAGTTCGTACTGGGTCGGCAGTCCCATGGGGGACACAATGATGAGCGAGGGGGCTCACAAGGGGGTATGTGGGAGTACAAGGAAGTAAACCCATCACCCATTACTGAAGCCAGGTCGCTCCTCCGGATCTTTCCACCGTACTGCACGGTACTGCAACTCAATAATACGACATACGGTTGAGGGCCGCCTCATATCTCCATCTGGGACCCAACACGTACGGCGTTCTGGCGGCGGAGGAATATGGACAGCCGTACGAACTTACTGTCCGTACCCACCTGCAAGCCGTCGCCGGGGCCGTCCACCGAGCAGTGATGCGGTTACCCTCCCGTCTTTATCTTTAGATATCCCATGGGGCTGCGGCCTCCGCCTCCGCCTCCGCCTCTGCCGCCGCCGCCACCATCTCCTCCTCCTCCCGGCGCACCTCCTCGAACCAGGGGTGCCGCAGTGCTTGGGAGGCTGTGATGCGGCGGCGGGGGTCGTAGGTGAGCATCCGGGTCAGCAGATCGATTCCCATCGGGTCCAGTGCGAGTTGGGGAACCAGCTGAGGAGGGGAAATTGAGAAAAGCAAGAGTTCGGGAGGGAGAGAAAAAGGGGGAAGGGAAGAAGGGGAGTGATCACTTAGCAATCGGAGCTAAAAGTGCACTAAAACACACATGCTCACGCACGCACGCACACACGTAGACGTCATCAAAACACGAAGAACACGAAAACGTGTGTGTAGGAGGAGAAAGAAGATGAGAGCCAAGAGCCGCAAGAGGGAGGTGACGATGGTGACGACGACCCGGGCGTTTGACCCGGAGGATGATGGGTTTGCCGAAGGGTGAGGGAGACTTCAGGTTTGGCACGATCAACGCTCTGCCGTACTCCTGTACGGGCTTGTCTGAAGGGCAGGCAGGCACCAATCGTGCTGCTATTCCCACCCTGAATGTTTATTACCCCTATCTAGAGCCTCTTATATGTTATAAAATACTAAGGAATCCAGCCTCTCAAAGCTTACAAGAGCCATCCCCCCCTCTCCCTCCCCCCTCCCTGCCGTGCACTCCAACGGCACCCAGACCCCACCCCACCCACCTCCGGCATCGGCCGCCCCGGCCACTGTGGAAACTGATCGCTGAAGTTGGCGGCGCACCCCACCTCGCCCCACGCGTCAGCTCCAGGGGTGCCCAGCTTCTGGAACATGTCGTACAGCAAACCGATCTCGCACGACGACGTGAAGAGCGGCCCGCGGAGGAACATCTCCGCCAGGCAGCACCCCGCCGACCAGATGTCCACAGCGGGGCCGTAGTGGCGACAGCCCAGAAGCAGCTCCGGAGCCCGATAGAACAGCGTGACCACCTGGCGGGTGCGGGGGCGGGTGTGTGTGTATGGGTGTGCGGGGGCGGGTGTGTGCCTGTACGGGTGTGCGGGGGCGGGTGTGTGCCTGTATGGGTGTGCGGGGGCGGGTGTGTGCCTGTATGGGTGTGCGGGGGCGGGTGTGTGCCTGTGTGGGTGTGGGGGCCGGGTGTGTGTGTATGGGTGTGCGGGGGCGTCCGGCCGATCCCAGCAGCGAGGCACGTAAGTAATGGAAGGACGATAATCTTAATTATTGGCGAGATAAGGCCCCGCCCCGCTTTGGCGCCCAATTTCCTTCCTAGCCGAAACAACTTAAAAGCTCGTGGGGCGGGGCGGGGTGGGGTGGGGTGGGGGGTGGGGTGCACATCCAAGGCAGATAACCACCACTTAGATTCTAACAGGATACAAGCACAGATTCCTGTGTTATTGTGTGTTTGCATGTGCTCCCCAATCTCCCGATCTCGGTTACGTAACTCCCCTCGCCGCCCCGAAACCTCTCCTCCGTAAGCCGCTCTTCCCCCCCCCCAGCCCGCACCACCACTCAACACCGCACCCCGCTCCCACACACCCCCAACAGCTCCTCCTCCTCCTCCCCCTCCTCCCCCTCCTCCTCCCCCTCCTCCCCCTCCCCCTCCTCCTCCTCCCCCCAGCACGCACCCATTCGGTGTAGGCTCCGCCCTCATGGCCGTTGCAGGGCAGGTAGCCCCGAGACAAACCGAAGTCCGCGATCTTCACAACAACGCGATCGCGGCTCCGGTCGCCGCCGCAGCCGCCGCCCACGCAATCCGCCATCCCCGCCGGCGCCACGGCCGGGGTCAGTGTCCCCGCTGCTGCTGACCCTGCTGATGTTGCTGAACCTGTGCCTGCTGCAGCTGTTGTTATTGCTGTTGCTGTTGCTGTTGCTGTTGCTGTTGCTGTGGTTGCCGCCCCGGGCAGCCCCAGCAAGATGTTATGTGGCTTGAGATCTCGGTGCATGATGCTGTGGCAGTGGGCGTGGCGGAGTCCGGAGAGCACCTGGTACATGATCGACTGGTGTGTGTGTATGTGTGTATGTGTGTATGTGCATCCCGCGGGCGATGAAGGCGGGGACAGGATGTTGGGGAGCAGGAGGACGCGCAGGAAGCGGAGGGGAAGAGAGGGGCCAGGGGGGGGTAAGCGAGGACGATAAAAACACAGCACGGAAGTGAAATGCGGCTTCAAGATGACCTCGCAAAGGGAAGCAATGGATGACATGTATATTGTCATAACACTCTCCCTCAAAAGACGTTTTCCGGTATTGCCGTACGCCGTACAGAAGCACACCCGTAGAGGAAGCTATATCTATAAACTCTCAACACTGCCACTGCAGCTTGTGTGTACGGCAGCCCGGGGTAAGATGACACGGGCATATGGGTCATTTATGTCGTACTATACCTTAATAGTCCGGGGGTTGAGCGCGGGCTGGTTGTGCAGGAAAGAGTTGAGATCTGAGTCAAGGAGCTCCAGAACCAGATAGCAGTACTTGCTGGGGGTGGAAGCAATGACGTCACGCAGTCTGCGGGGGTGTGTACACGTGTATGCGTGACTGTGTGTGACTGTGTGTGTGTGTGTGTGTGTGTATGTGTATGTGTACGTGTGTGCGTGTGTGCGTGTGTGCGTGTGTGCGTGTGTGCGTGTGTGCGTGTGTGCGTGTGTGCGTGTGTGCGTGTGCGTGCGTGCGTATGTGTGTGTGTGTGTGCGTGTGCGTGTGTGTGTGTGTGTGTGTGCGTGTGTGTGCGTGTGTGCGTGTGTGTGTGTGTGTGTGTGTGACTGTGTGTGTGTGACTGTGTGTGTGTGTGTGTGACTGTGTGTTTGTGTGTGTGTGTGTGTGTGTGTGTGTGTGTGTGTGTGTGTGACTGTGTGTGTGCGTGTGCGTGTGTGTGTGTGTGACTGTGTGTGTGCGTGTGTGTGTGCGTGTGTGTGCGTGTGTGTGTGTGTATGCGTGTGTGTGACTGTGTGTAATTGTGTGTGTGCGTGTGCGTGTGTGTGTGTGTGTGACTGTGTGTGTGCGTGTGCGTGTGTGTGTGCGTGTGTGTGCGTGTGTGTGCGTGG